TGTACATGTAGGGTCTCCTAGAACCGACCAGCTGTTTATTTTTCCTTTTTTATAAGGAGGGGGGGGGGGGTACGTGTGGAGTTACAATATTTAACTTTAACAAATTTATTCAAACCCAGGATTCATGCAAGGACGAAATTGTGTGTGATGATGGTGTGGTGACCATGCTTCAAGGCTAAACTCAAGTTTGTCATTTCCATTACCGGTACCTAAATTCCAGTGCTAAAATGCTCTTGAATATTAATCAATCTTCTAACTTCTACAAAAATTCTTTTGGAAACGAAGTCTCTGAATCTGATCGACAATCTCTGCAGCCTGAACCTGTTTCAGGTTACTCAACTAGCACTTTGATTATTTTAGCTGGACTGTCTTTTCCCTTGAACTCTAGGTGCATGTAGTAATATTGACAAGAATGTTAAGTGAGTGTAATCTTGATGACAAACCCAGCAGCAACACGAGTCAATGAATGAATGGCCATGGGAAATGGGTTTCCCAGTCGACTCTCCGATTTGCGAATTGCTTTAACAGAAACAGCATATATATCAGTCTACATGTGTACATGTGCATACTTGTAGTAGTAGCCTACAGTGTACATGATTGTACACATATTTGCTGTCAAGTGTATGATTGCAAACTTTTAAAACCTCTTTCATTTTTTAATTTTGCATGCATTAAATATTGTAAAATTGTACATAACATTTTATACATACACGCATATGGGTACATACTACATTTAAGCATCAAATTATTTTTTTGTCCACAAAGGATCTTCCAAAAACAAAGAGCCCCTGTGAGCCTTCTTATCGTTTTTTTTTTTAATTCAAATTTTCCTTGAGTTGGTACCCATGATACTCCTTAATTCTTTGCTTAATTCATTATCATTTATTTAAGTCTGCATTTTCCCTCTTACATGTACAACTTTACAAGTTACATGGGGTTACTGCCCAGCCTTTCATCCTGTGATGACATTCTCTACATTTCTTCCTGTTATGCACATTCCTCCTCATCATTCAGAATAACCTTATTGCATTCTTTCTTTAGTCTTTACCATATCCTTTGGTCTTCCTCTTCTTCTCAAAATTCCCTTATACCATCCATTGCGATCGCCTCTAGCAGATATGGCGCAACAGCGTGCACATTGGTACCGGCGTGGTATAGCCGCTGCTGACAGCCGCACTGCACTGCCAGCTTGATTTGATTTGATTTGATTTTATTTTATTTATTCATCATCAATAACATCAGTGATTAAACATTTGAATACATCGTGAATGGTACATGTTCATAAATGAATATTATAGATCATATTAAAGAAAAACCTAACAAAGTATTGATATGCTAGACATATGTCTTTTCTCATAGAATATAGAAGGTGATGAAAAGGAGCCAAATAATAGCACATGTGCTAGTCGAGTCTGGCCCCTGTTCTTAGCACACACTTGGCAAAAATAAATATATCATTATCAAAAAATAAAACTTGACAGTAGAAGTATACATGTTGAGTAATACCGTAGCACAATTTCTACACTCCAAATATAATTATGAAGAGGATATACCAGGTTAAAAAGTCATAGATACATGTATCTACAGATTATTTATACAAAAATTGCATTTTTTTGACAAAAAAAAAAACAACAAAAATGTAATATGGAGATTATTTACAATATATACATGTGTACTTGCATAATTCAATCACTTATTCATCAAGTAATCGTTGAGATGTTTACGAAAAGTGTTTCTAGACCCTTTGTTTTTGATTTCATCGGGAAGTTCATTCCATAATCGGGTTCCTACACAAGTTACTGAAAATTTGCCTTGTGTTGTTTTATACAGTGGTATACGTAGATGGCCCTTTTCTCTTTTTCTTGTATTGTATCTATGCTCAGTTTTATCACAATAATCCGTCAAACAGTGAGGTAAATTATTATGTACTAGGTCATACATAAATGTACATAGAGACAACTCATAGAACTTGTTAATATCTAAGATTTTCAATTCGTAAAACAATGGTGCTGAACGACTCATAAAATGGCTAAATGTGATTGTCCGTATGGCCATCTTCTGTGTATACAGTATGCAATTTAAGTGAGACTTGTAAGTGCTCCCCCACACTTCAATTCCGTATGATATATGAGGTTGAATAAAGGTTTTATACAACAACACTAGGATATTTCTAGGCACAAAATGCCGTATAAAGCGGAAGAGGATTCCTACTTTTTGTCTGATGCATTTATTAACCATTTGTATGTGGGGTTTCCAAGTCAAGTGTTTATCAATCTTTATCCCAACAAAGAGCGAAGAATCAACTTCTATTATTTCAGCTTCTGATATAGCCAGTTGCCCTTGAACATTAATCTGCCGTCTCTTGTTTCTTATTAGCATATAACTCGTCTTTTGTAAATTAATTGTCAGTTTATTAGCATTACACCAGTCTGAAACAATTTGAAGATTTGTGTTCACTTCAGTCATATCAATTTCTTTTTGCCCTTCAGGAAATGTATGGAATAAGTTTGAGTCATCCGCAAAGAGTCGAAAGTTAAAGTAACGTGTAGCAAATGGCATATCATTAATATAAAGTAGGAAAAGCGTTGGGCCTAGGACAGAGCCTTGCGGTACACCACATGTTAAAGGCAGCATGGGAGATGTTACATTTCCGTACTGTACAAATTGAAATCTTCTATAAAAATAGTCCTTAAACCACTGTAATGCTATTCCTCGTATTCCATAGTGTGAAAGTTTGCTGTATAAAATATCATGATTAATTGTATCAAATGCTTTCTTAAAGTCTACAAATATCCCAAGTGTGATTCTTCCCTCATCCATTGAATTCCTCAAAGTGTTAACTAAATTTATCATTGACAATTTTGTACTGTATTTTTTACGGAAGCCATACTGGTGCTCATATAATACATGATTTTTTTCAAGAAAGTCAAGAAGCCTATTATTTACAATTTTTTCAAAAACCTTCCCAAGAACAGGTAATACTGAAATAGGTCTATAATTTCCTGCTTCATCTTTAGGTCCTTTCTTATAAACAGGTGTCACTTTTGCTATTTTAAAGGCATCTGGGAATTTACCAGAGGTGAAAGACAGATTGAAAATAAATGTAAGGGGAGAAGTTACATAGTGCACAGCATCTTTTATCAGCTTGATTGGCATATTATCATACCCACTAGCTTTCTTTACATTCAAGGCTATTAAATGGTTGTTAACCTCAGTCTCAGTAACTGGTTTCCAGAAGAAAGATTTGTCTACACCATCGTCTAAAACTTTCTCTGTATTACGATTTGTGTTTGGTATGGCATTCGCCAAATTTGGACCAACATTAACAAAGAAGTCATTAAATGCATTTGCAATATCTTGTTCATTACACAGGGTTTCATTAGTACCAGTATCATTCACACACAATTTATCCACCACTGTTGGCTTAAACGAATTGTTTCCACCACTTAAAATCTCGTTTACAGTCTTCCATGTTTTGCTAGTATCACCCTTATTTTCAAGGAATATCCTACTATAGTAATTTCTCTTTGAGTTTCTGATTATTGTAGTTAACATATTCCTGTACTTCTTGTATGTTGTTAAATAGACAGGATTGTGGTTGGTGGCAAGAACCTGTGAATACATTGTATGTTTCTTTTTTATGGAATTCATTATAGCTTTTGTAATCCAAGGTTTCTTAGGTTCGTTCTTTCTCCTTTTACCGTGTTGAGCTACAACTGGTGCATGCTCATCACACACTTTTGTCATGATTTCACAAAAACGGGAGTATGCGAGATCAGCATCATCCGCTGCATAAACTGATTCCCATGTTATATTGGCAAGCTCAGCATGGAATTTTGTAACATCATAGTTCTTGTAAGAACGAGACATTAATTTTCCTCGGCAAGACTTTTTCTTAAATTGTATATTAGACTTAAAAATGGTAAAGATCGGAAAGTGGTCTGTAACGTCAGATTCAATTATTCCTGCATGAATACTGGGAACATTCATATTGGTATATATATGATCAATCAAAGAGAAGCCATGTTGCGTTACTCTAGTAGGAAAATTAATCAATTGATGCATGCCGATACATTGCATGGAGGTGAGAAAGTTATCAGCTGCTTCTGTTGTTAGTATCGGTATAATACTCATCAACAATATTTTGTCTCGTTTAACATTCGGGAAGTCCCTATTAAGTATTATTATGCCTAGTAAAACAATGTGTGCGTGTGCAGGTCAATGGGTACGCGCTTTAATAAACATGTACTTCTATTGAGGTTAAAGCAATGGATACACATGGTCACAATTACAATTTACGTTGTAATTGCTTGGCTTTATGTAGCTGATATTGGCTGGCTCTACTTTAGGACAATATACAAAATATCGGCCTTTGATTCTGTTAATGAATCATATTGCCTTCATCTTACGACTTGGGGCTAGATCTATATGATTCTGCTGTGGGTAATACACAGTTGCTACAAGTTGTACAATTTACCCCCATAAGACCATCCAATAATTATATGGCAATGCTAGATGATTGATATAGATGTATCAAAACAATTGACAAAAAATGCAAGCTGGCATTAAAATAAATTTTAACTTGTGCACTCTAAGTCTCTGATCTCTCACTCTCACTCTCAACTAGATTCTAGAACTAAAGTTTATTTTAAACAAAGACAGAATCTACAGGATGAAGTCGTATGCTGAAAAGAAAATACATCATTTATATAATATTAATAGTAATACACCATTCTTGATTGAATAAGCGCAACTTCCAGGAGAAGGTTACTACTCCATGTACCATGCCGGAGCGGAACGGGGAAGCGAAGGGACACCTACGGCACGTTCTCCCGATCTCATCAATTATCATCCCGCTCACTCCCACCTCCGACTCCGTGTTCTCAGTCAAATGCAGAGACATGTTTCACATAGAGTCAAGTATTTTTGGTGGCGAATATGAGATATATAATGTTCAATATGTCATATAAAGTGAACGAAAATGTTAAAGGAATACTTACAGAGTTACTGAAAGCAGTGTTCTAGCCCGCCTTCAGCTCAAAAAAGTCTTAAACGGAGAAACAAGCAGAAGATTCCAGCGTCAACAAGTTGTTGTTTCCCCAACCCAAATGCGAGCCGAAATAAAAAGCGCTGAGAAAGTTTGGTAAGATATACTTCCGGGTATATGCTGTAAGTTGTCACGAGAGGGCGGTAGACCAAAATCCGTACTCTACACTTGTAGTTTAGCGGTTCATGCAAGTTGGGCATGGGCATGATGGGTTGCTCAGGAGATTCGGAGGAAGTTCATCCATCCCCCATTAAAACAAATCACGGAAAAAAAATCCAACTGTAGTTCACTGTCTAATACAAATAAGCTTAAAGCTTTAAAATGCAGAAAAATGCAAGGGTTGCAATGAAGCTGATTTTTAGAAAGTGGCAACATAGTAGGGTTATTGTTTGTAAAGCTCCCCGGATATCTTATAAGCGAAATTGTCAGTATTTGATTTTGTTTTCATGTATACTTATTTTTAAAATAATTTTTTAATTTTCATTTATCAGTGCCTATTTTTGTTTAATCTCCATCACACCAAAGCAATGCGACCTCCCCCTTATTCTTACCTGCTGCCAGCCGCAAGATGTTGAGTTCGTTGATAACGCCATCTTCGGCGGCTTGAATCAAGTGCAGTGTAGGGAATGGAAATAACCGGTCAGATTGTATGCCTCAGGAACTCAGGAAAAGATATTTATTCGTCTTTCTTTCAAATTTCACAGAGAGCGTAACATTAGATCATTACACATTTACAATGCAAACATTTACAACAAAAATGATGGCAATGATAAAATTGAGAAAGATGAGGAGACCCTGTGCGATGACCCTTGAAGAGGTGTCGATCCATTAAGGATCATATTTGTTTTGTTTTTTTAATGAAAACTGACATACCTCAAGACTGTACCATTTCTTCCTACTTTTCATTTTCTACTCTGTCCATCTTTACCCCTTTCCTCCTATCTTTCGTATGTTCTCTGATCAACTTTTCTTTCGTTCTTCTTCTTCCTCTCTTCCTCTTTCTAGTTCCTTCTCTCTCTCTCTCTCTCTCTCTCTCTCTCTCTCTCTCTTCTTTCTTTGTAACCTTTGATGACACAGAAGTTTTAATGTTTTTAATATTTGTAATATATTTAGATTTTGATGTAATATTTGAGAGTTTTATTTTGTTTCATTATGCATGGTTTATGGTTGTACGGTCATTCATATTTGGATCGTTTATTGTGTTGTGCATTGAATTTGTAAATTGAGCAATTTCAGCTTCCCAGCTGCATGTTCTTTTATTGCAATAAACCGAATCAATTCAATATCAGAATGGAAGGGAAGAGGGGTCATATCCAGATGATGCTAAGCTTCATAGGATACAATAGGTATGTTAGTTGATGTAAACGTGTAGGCAGTGGCGTACCTGGGGTACTCCGTCAGGGGGGGGGGGGGGCAAGCGACCGAAACAAACAAAAAGGCGATGCTAATTTTCACTTCTGGCGAGCGAGCGAGCGAGCAAAAAAAAAAATCTTGAAGTAACGTTTGGTATATAAACTGGTATTGTTGCAAGTTGGGGAACATTCACTTGTTAGCGACGTTAATTTCATTTTTTTGCAAACGAGCGTAGCGAGCAAGAAAAAAAATCACTTCTTTTTTAATAATTGCCACTTAAACTTGGTTCAATTGTCCCATGCAGGGCGCGGGAACAATATTGTGTTTAGGGTGATTTTATACCCATTTTAGCTAGCGAGCGAAAATACATCTTTCTCTCAATGAATTGCTATATAAAATTTGTTTCATTGTTGCAGGTCGGGGGCGGGCACAATCGTGTTTAAGGCAATGTCAATCCCATTTTGGCGGGCAGGCAACCCCCTACATTTCTCTTTTTAATATTGTTGTAGCAGGTTAGTGGTGGGCACATAATTCCACGAGCTCGCGAGAGAAAAAAATCACTTCTCTTTTATAGGGAAAATATGGTACATAAAAGTTGGGTTCATTGTTCCATGTCAGGGACGTGATTATTAAAAGCGGTGTTATTTCTATTTTGGCGAGCGAGCGTAGCGAGCGAGCAAAATTTTTGTAATGATAATTGGTTCATAAATTTCAGATTTTTTTGTTGCAGGGCAGGGCTTACACAATCATGTCTCAGGTGATGTTAATTTCGTTTGGCGAGCACAAGCACACCAAAACTTCTTTGAATAACGTTTGGTACATTATTAACTGGTTGTTGCAGGTTGGGGCGGGCACGTTAGCGGTGTCAATTCCATTTTGGTGAGCGAGCATAGCGAGCAAGCAAGAGGGGGGGGGGGTAAGCAGACACTTTTTTTTGGTCTCGAAATTTGAAAATTTGACTTTATGTTCCGTTGGGGGGGGGGTAAGGTCACAGCCATTGGCATATTTTTTTTTTTTTTTTTTTTTTTTATAAAAAAAAAGGAAGGGGGGGGGGTTTCCCAAAAACATACACAAAACATACACATAAAAAAAAACTCAAGGGGGGTTTAACCCCAACCCCCCCCCCCCCCCTGCGTACGCGCCTGAGGCCTACACTACATTTTCAGGAAAAAACCGTACGTGTTCAAAATATCTGGGGTCAACTGCCCCCCCCCCCCCTGGTGCGTACGGCCATGGCCTTTTTCTTTTAATTTCCCCCTTTTTTTTTCTTTTCCCTTTTTCTTCCTTTTCTCTTCTTCTTTCTTTTTTTCTTTCCTTTTCCTTTTTTCCTTTTTTCTCTTTCTTTCCTTTTTTCTTCCCTTTTTCTTTTTTTTTCCTTTCCTTTCCTTTCTTTTCTTTTCTTTCCCCTTTTTCATTTTTCCCCTAGAGCCCGTCAGGGGGCACTCTGCCCCCTGCCTGTGGTGGGGGTAGGGAGGGGGGCATGCTGGCGACCTAGAGAAAGTCCAGGTCTTGTTCTTCATGGCCTTCCTCCATCCCGATCCCCTTCTCTCTCTCTCTCTCTCTCTCTCTCTCTTTATCTGCGTCTCTTTCTCTCCCTTTCTCACGTTTGTCTTAAAGGTTCTGTAGCTTTCAAACTATCGACGCCCTTCAGTAGGAAAGAAGAAATGAAATAAATATATATATATCTTTATAATACGTAATATGTGTGAATGTGTATTTCATTTGTAGCACCCCCCCCCCCCACCCCCTCATTTAGAAAAACCTATAACATTCGGCCGGCCCCTTCCCCCCCCCCCCCCCCTCCCCCCCCCCCCCCCCCTCTTTCTCTCCCTTTCTCACGTTTGTCTTAAAGGTTCTGTAGCTTTCAAACTATCCATAATTGATCGACGCCCTTCAGTAGGAAAGAAGAAATGAAATAAATATATATATATATCTTTATAATACGTAATATGTGTGAATGTGTATTTCATTTGTAGCACCCCCCCCCCCCCCCCCCCCCCCACTTCGTCGCTACTGTACACACAACTTGCTGATCCTCACGACAACCAGCAAAGCTCCACGACTCAAAATAACTGAATTCAAACACACGGCTTCCTTATAAGCACTTGGGAAAACATACTTAAGGGTTGTCTCCTCGATGTTTGTCATCTTAACTGTTCCTTTCATCACTCTCCCTCTCCTATTCACCCCTATTCACGAGCAGACGACAGTTCTCATTGTGCGTTGTTGCGCTCGCCCGCTTCGCCCGGTTGTCATACACAAAACCCGTGCATTGATCTATTTAGGAATTGACCCCCCGGTCCCCGCGCGGAGAAAAGGCGTCCCTTAGCAACGAGCTATCGGTACCTGCTGTAGTAATTGAATGTAGTGTTGTGTTGTAAGCATGTACTCCAGGATTTTCTGCATGTTGCGATGTTGACTCGTACGTGCGTGCTTTCGTTTCAGTAGAGAAGCGACCGAGAGACAGCCAGAAGCGCAGACAGTGATATTATATCGTTTCAATTCCCTATGTCCACTAATTAGGGGGTGCTGATTTTATATTCAGCTGAATTTTATTCTGCAATAAGGTGACAAACGGAGGTAAGTTTGAATATTTCATAATCATAAAATGTTCTATTTTTCGAAATATATATATATATAACAGATAAGGTAGTTATCGTTGTAGGCCTAGGGTATGCATCACATTGCATTATTTTACGTTTTGTGACTAAATCTAGGTGTGTGTTTTTGTACGTTATTTACAATAAATGTGTTTCCTTTCCAAGACAGTTAATATTGAAGGGTATAGGCAATGATTAGTCGACTGATGCTTTAAATTCATCAATTTATCTGAGCCTTGATTAAGAAAATCTTGTATCTTACAGGTGGTAGACTTTTCGTGATAGGAAAAACACGTTTATGGCAGCAAAAATGTACAATTAAAATGTCCATATTATACATTTGTAGAGTATAATCGGTGGCAATTATTTGTAAATAATATTCACATATACAGTGCGTATATCTATCCATGTGGAAGTTATTCTGCAGACTTAAATAATATATTAGGCTATATACTTTAACATAATAATAATGTTAACGATTCGACATGAAAATGACTTTTTGCGAAAGTCAATTATATTTTGTTGACGTTTTCAATGACTGGGCCAACAGTGTCCAGTTAGAATGCTTGTAAATGCAACATCTATCTCTAAAAAAATCGAGTGATCACGGACGTCACTCCTCTGGAGAGTGAAAATGTAGTGAAAATAGAGTGAACATTCACTCTTTTCTTCTTAGAGAGCACTCTAAAATCAATCGATTTTCACTCCTAAACAAGTGATCACGGACGTCACTCCCAAGAAAGTGAAAATAGAGTGAAAATTCACTCTTTTTTTAAAGAGAGACATGATTTATGGGTAACAGCAATGAGATGCACGGCAGATTATACAAGTCGGTATAATTCAAAGATCAAAACAGACTTTTAAAAAATCTATCCAAGATATCTTTACGATAACTAAGTCGATAAAAAGTGGTTTGAAAGTATTATTTAACTTGCGACATTACTAACTGTAAACAGAGGTAAAAGAAATGTGGAAAGAGACGATATTTCACTTTATCATGAATGTTTATTGGTCACGTTGGTGCAGACTTGAAAATTCTAACAAAATGTGGGTAGATTATATGATTTGAGATATGACCGTTTCTTAATTTTGTGTACCACAGAGGCATCGATAAACTATATTGTTGGAATAATACAAATATGATTATATCGTAAAAAGCTTCAGTTATGGTGGAGGTCGGTCAATATTTTACACACGGCAGGTTTTTGATATCATCTTTTATTCGGGACTACTCAAATATTCTACGTGTCATGACCTCTCACATCGCCTCCAGCAATGTTCTGTCACTCGCAATTATGCGACCTACAAATCCTGCCAACAAAGAATGTTATAATCTGCTCAGTTTGTATAAACTAAAGAACTATTTTGTCAATGCCATATGATTTTAAAATGTATACCTCAAGCTAGAAACTACAACTTTTAACAGAAGCGCAATCTTTATAATAAACTTAAACGAATTTGAATAATAATAATAATAATAATATTCAGCTTTTATTTACATCTCGGACGTCGTCTCTAAGCGCATTATAATCGAATACCGAGTCTGCAGATAATTATATATCATATTCAGTTGAATTACTTCATTTTATTCTTAAAACTGTCCATGCTTTAAATCTTTATAAAATAAAATAAATTGTATTGTATGCAAGGAAATGAAAGTTTCTTCAGATACCTACCTCCTTTAAAGACCAAGCGAATGTAATCTAGTTTTCAAGAATTTTGTCGACATTAAATCTTGACAAGAAAAACAAAAACAAAACAAAACAACAACAAACAACAAATCTTCATGACTGGATTATTAAGAGGAAAATCGACATACTTCACTGGTTAATTCTCTCTGATAGTGCTCTCGTTTTCAAAAAATCAGATTAACTCCCTGTATTTTTCTCTGAGTCAAAATGATCGGATTTATTCCTTTGTCGTGTAGGGTATTAAAGCAACCAAAATGTGTTAAACTCTGTGCCTGCACGTAGTGATGTCTGCAGTAAGTCTCGATTGGTTCGCGTGAAAGGCTTTTCCTTTATAAAAATAAACGATTAAATGACTGTATAGTGTAGCATTAGCTTTTTTAAGTGAGCTAAATGTATTTACGTAGCTCGTAATATGAACATTAAGATAAAGTGTAGTCAAGATACATGATTCTAGAGCAAATAGAAGGAATATGACCAAGCACATTATGTTATTTATTCTTAGATAAGATGACGTCTATCTTCTTGAAGTAACACGTTCAGACTGGGTGTTTATTTTACCGTTGTACTTTTCAAGTGATCATTTCAGTGACATTAACGAGGGGAGATGGGGGACGAAAGTCATTCACCTCTCTTTGCTTGACGAAAATTCAGTAGAAAGAGTTTTGTTTAATTTTATGTTTTAAATTATCATAAACTGTGAATTTGCTTGGTGCGTTTGGTAAAGATAATTATGTTGCGCGTGTGCATGCAGCTGTTCATAATTATTTCAATTATATCAATGATGTGTTGCGAATATTATGTCATTTTATGGAACTTTTTCATTTTTATTCAATTTTTGTTTGATTTAGGGATTGGTATGGTAGTTTTGGCGACGTTATAATGATTCAAGTTGTTTTTTTTTTTCCTTATTTTAAGTATATAGGGCAAACAAAGAAAAAGAATGGAAGTGTAAACAATGGCGTACAAGGAGAATGACAAAAAGATGGAAATACATAAGTGAACTTTTCATAGAAGATATCAAAAATAGTAATAATAATCAATCTGGTTTATATAGTGCTTGATAACAAAATACAAAAAGCTAATCACTTTACAGATAATAAGGAACCGCGGATAATCATCACAAAGGTTTTCGTCACCTTACCAGGTCCCCGTTTCTATGTCGACCACGACACCTCTACATCTTATATTGATCTGAATAAGATCATGAAATAAACTGTTATGGACACAACATTCAAGTGTGCATAATTATTACTGTCAAGTTTTTACGAATGATAGATTCCAAAATGTTCAATAATGACAAGTTGGCAACCAGTATCTGTAATAAGCACTATACAATCTTTAGCCTAAGGATGCTCAAGCCCGTACAAGTTTTTTAAGGAGGGGGGGGGGGGGGGTTCTTAGGGTTGCCAACTTTTTTCGTGAGAAAATATTTAGCGGCGAATAAGCGGGGAGGGGGGGGGGTAGTGAGCAGTGGGGGGGGTATGGGGCACCAATATGTTTTTATTTTAAGAAAAAAATGTACGGGCCTGATGCTAGATGTAGAGATATCCAGGCACCATTAAAATAATCATATATGGACACAGAATTCCAATGAAGCCTACTCAACCTTAATTTTCCTCGTTTCCAGATAGATTCCAAATGAGCATACCCGTATATCGACCCTCCAAGGGCGACGGCCTGGTCGTCCGACACACCATGGGGCACGTGCCCGAGAACAACGCCCGTTCCACCCACCATGCGGTCAGCAAACTCGACTTCGCTGGACGTCGACCGCACACCCAGGCCAGCGCCCGCTTCGGTCAACTCAGTCAGAGCTCGTTCTTCGCACGCCATAACCCGCAGTCAAAGAGAGTCAGGCACATAAAAGGTTCGGACATTGGAACAAAATAGTTTTTAATTTTTGGTTATGATGGACAACTAATTTCTTTGTAAATCTTTAAAAGTTGATAGGCATACTTGTGTTAAACAAAATAAACGAAACTTAAAAGGAAAATTGTTAAAGATTAATGAGATGATTCCTATAACTAGTTTGTATAAAACATTAGAATTACACCAATTCGGTGTCTAATATTATTGTATTGCTTCTTCGAAATTATGTCCAATTCCAATGATCCATTTTGAGAGTTGATTTGTATTCATTGGAAATGATAATTTGTCCAATATCTTGAAAAATAATCTGATTTCGATGTGATTATTTCTATATGTTTGCTTCTTATTATTATTGTATGATGAATTAAGAAAATGTTTATGTTTTGTAAAATATTTTCGTATAGAAATTTAGATGGCTCTATACTGCAATAAATTCGCTCTCAAAAATATTTTGAGCATTTTTTTTAAAACCCCAACTTAGTTGATATTTTGCCCATTTTGAAGTAATTATTCTACATTTTGACCCTAATTGGACAACAAACTACAAAGAATATGCCCAAAGTTGCAATTTGATTGGATACAAAGTCATAATTAACCTCGTGCTGGGCAAAAGAATTATTTTACCCAATATTTTTCAGAGTGACTATTGTGTAATCAATAATATTACAGTCAAACCTGTCTTAGTGGCCACCTCTCCTTAGATGCCAAATGTGTATATAGTGACATTGGCCCGTATTCTGAAGTCGTGTCTAACTTAGCCACGTCTAAAGTTAAACAACCGTTTAGTTAAACAGGAGTTAGACATGACTTCAGAATACGGGCCAATGTATTGTGTCTCTCTCAAGAAATAAATGTGTGTTATAGAACCTGTCTAGAGAGGCCACTAGCCTATACAGTGGTCGGTTTGCTGCTTCACTTGGGTGGCCTCAATAAACAGGTTTAGCTATATTTTTTTGTGGCGTGTTAGAGATATGCATCTATTTGACCGACTATTTCGCTTTCCACCATCATATTACTCAAATCTATGTAGGCTTGCTAGACTTTCCCATATGTTCCGTCCACGACGACGGCTACATCGCCAACTCCCGGCTCAACCGACGACCCGCCACCACGGACGACATCAACCTGACGAGGAGGTCGTGGCCGATGTCGAAGCCCCAATCGGCTCCCGTGGGTAACATGGCCCCTCTCGGGCGGTTACCCGTTCACGCGATCAACTACCACCCCAATCATATCAACCCCGCCCTCCAAAATCATAAGACCAACGCCCTCGGAGCGAATACCCAATACGGCCGGTTCCCGTTGTCGTTTCGTGAGCGGGCCGATCCCAAGTTTGGGATGAGTAAGTTAGATGAGATCCTCATCAAGTTGTCTTGTTATATTGGGTGTGGACGGTCCAGAATATGCTACCTAACACACCATTGTATACCCCCATCGCTCATCGCATGCATCATCACTAATAATTGTTATTGCCATTATTTTCGTTCATCCTTCTTCACATTAAAGTTCATTATTTTCATTTTTGCAGATGCAGCGAGCAGTGTTCATTCACATTATTTTATCAGCATTCATTTTGGTGAAATCGGTGTTGCATGGATACATCATCATTATTAACCAGTGTTAGCTGCATGATAGTATATAACAAACATTGTGTCACCATTTATTCCCATCCTCTCTCCACTTTCACATTTTTTTCGTTTCCTATAGGTTAAGAATTTTTCATCAGCTATAACATTCGCAAGAAAGACGGGTGACAGACTGGAGGAAAAATAAACAAAAACACAACCAACATTTTTTCCCAATCATTTAGCCTCCCACCACCTCACCCCACCTCCTCTACATCAAAAAAAGAATATTAGCCGAAGAAAAGTGCTGCTTCATTTGAATGGATACACAGTCAGACATGTGGGGACTTAAACCCATCAAACTCGAGGAGAGACAATTGTAATGCAGGTGGGGCAAACAATCAGAAAATCAATCTTCACTGATTGCCCACCGCTAGATACAAGAATAAAATTGATAAGTCAAAGTAGACTTCCTGAACTTCTGACAAGTGGTCGCAACGACGGACATTCTGAACCCCCCCCCAAAAAAAAAAGACACTGTCAAGTCCACTAGTTCCCAAACTTTATGATGATCAGTGCGGTCAGTAAAATCGATTTCTGAAGGATGAAACTCCTTCTCTCATATTTAAATGGCCTGGGAATGAAAACAGGTCGATCATTTTTTGGAGTGTAATTAATCCGCTAACATGTCTGACGCAGTACGCCATCCAATACACCATGTCTTCTCACGTCATGAGATGCACACGCAAAAAAAGGAGTTTCCAGGCGTCTTCTGTCAAAAGTGCACATCCTATATACACCTCAACCCTAGAAAATTGAAGACGTCTTGCATCATTATCACATTTACATTCATTTACATTACAGGCCTTCTCCGTGTTCCCGTTTGTGCCATATGAGGGACAGCTCAACCCTGACGCATGCAATTTTGGCATTCCTGACGCATGCCATTTCGACAACCCTGACGCATGCAATTTCGGCATTTCTGACGCATGCCATTTCGACAACCCTGACGCATGCCATTTTGACAGTCCTGGCGGATACCTTTTATATTTTAATACTATCTCGCAAGTTCACGAGACCATGCACAAGCGCCCCTCTGTCCCTGCTTCTCCCTTGCTCCTTTATAGATGACGAAAGTCAACGTCACACGACATTAATGTATTAAACTCATGAATCTTTTGACATCGCAACCACAGGCCTTCTCGATGTCCCGATCTGCGCCGTACACGACGAGGGCTACTTCACCAACCCGCGGCTGCGTCGTCGACCGGCGACGGCCGAGGCGAGAGGGATGTACACCTTCCGCATCCCCAAGCCCACCAAGGAGGTGTACAATCTGAACCCCACCATCAACGCCTCACAGTACCCCATCAACACCCTTACAGGGCTCAGCATGTTCCCACAGGGATTCAGGGAGAAGACCCACGCCCCCATGTTCGGCCTCAGTATGTTCCCACTTTGTGGATTATTCTGTGTTCGTTTGTCGAGTCACACGATTGCAGTGCGTCCTTTTGTCGGACACTCCCCAACGCCCAACGAAACACCCCTCGCTTGACGTGCCCCACCCATGGCCACACCCCTTCTATAAAAGCCACCCTTTATCAATATCAGCTAGCCCATAGATAAAAACAGATTTCGTCATGAACAGTGGTTCCTGACTGTCACATTTGCTTGCTGTGTTCACACAATGCACATGATTATGTTTGTCCCCAATGACACACCCCTCGTTGGACGTGCCCCACCCACGGCCACACCCCTTCTATAAAAGCCACCCTTTATCAATATCAGCTAGCCCATAGATAAAAACAGATTTCGTCATGAACAGTGGTTCCTGACTGTCACATTTGCTTGCTGTGTTCACAATGCACATGATTATGTTTGTCCCCAATGACACACCCCTCGTTGGACGTGCCCCGCCCATGGCCACACCCCTTCTACAAAGAGCCACCCTTATTTCACTGCCAGCTAGCCCATAGATAGAAACAAATTTCGTCATGAACAGTGGTCCCTGACTGTCTCATTTGCTTCCTGTGTTTACACAATGCACATGATTTTGTTTGTCGGCAACTTTTCTCGTAAATTGTCGTAAAGTCTATAAATATAGCATATCTCTATCCTGGAGTAGCCGATTATTTGCACTTATTGTAAGTTCGGCAGAATACAAGCCATCAGAACACCACAAACGAAACGAAATTATAACATTCTTGCAAAGACTGTCGAGAAATAAACTCAAGGACAATTCTAATGCATTATGCATGTATATGATCGTATATGCCATAGAAATTATTTTTGGATGACGTCATGATTATGTCGCTATCACCTTTCAGTGGTTACTTAGTGGACAATGGCGACTGGCTGAAATGCTCCCCAGGGAGTGGAGAATGTGCATACCTTGTGTGCGGGTAAGCCTGAATCCGATGACCGGGGTAATAATATGTTCCGCGCCTAGAAACAAAGTATTAGGCGCATTATAAATGTGAGCTATTATTATTATTATTATTATTGACAATGCCTTGAGTAGGTTTTCGAAAGTCTCTGCGATCGCATTTTACCGTCACTTCTCTAGTAATCTACCAGATCAAAGTCGATGAGATAAATTACATAACCCTGACCCTCTAACGTAACCCTTGCTGTCATTTCATACAGCGGCATCTACATTATATATTCCATTATAATTATCATAAGAATAATTTCCATTATCTAACCATCGCTCGTCACCCTCACAACAATCACCAAGAGAGCTTTCATCTGCTCGTCAAATTACAAACATTTTCATAAAATCGTCAACATGTCAGTAATTGACAATCATGATCTATTGTCCTTTGTACTATCTTCTACATTATCTACATTCCATCACCATAATGAAAATTTCCATTATCTAATTCACGCTTTGCCAACGCCATCGCCACCTCGTCTTTAATTCAATGTTTATTATGTATACGTTCTTTTCAAAGCATTCTCATTAATTTGCTTTTCAAGTTATATTTCATAAAATTGTCAGTATCTTTAGGTGCGAACGGATTCTGTACCGACTAGTTCATAAACAAACAAGAAAATAGAATGATAAAAATAAATTGAAAAACGACCGGTAGTATGTATGAAATTACATTATACTACGTGGGAATTATTTCTAAATTGGTAGTACATGTTTATCGGGTCCCTCACTCACCGTCTGGCAATTTTATGATAATGTTTGCAATTCTGTATCGCTCTCATTAGTGGTTCCTATAGTATTTATTCCATTGTCTATTGTGCTGCTGTACAAAGCTCATTTGTGCTGCTATAATCAAACTAATTTTCACTTTTTGTATGAAAGACAAGGTCAATCTTATTACCTTTCTCCTCAATCCATCCATCCACCTAATCTATCTTTCTTCCATACACTGTGTGATCAGCTTTATATTAAGTTTTCTTCCAGTTATTTGATTAATTTCATATTTTACTAGTTAAAATTCTCATACATCAAATCTATGTTCTGTTATCACTGCATACCTAAATAATAATGATATAATGCTGTTTCTATCATTCAGTTGCTTCAAATATGAACGCAAACTATTTCGTTATGCGCTCTGTTATCTCTTTGTTACTAATATCATACGTTTCTATATCGTCAACATCTGTAGTCTACACATAACTTTAACATTATATGTTCAAAAATACTTATGCATTCTCTGCTCAAATTAAATCATAATATCACATGTGTGCTATTGCTGTGTCGCAGTGTGCTGTGTTACTTAATCATTTAGATTTTAAAGATATAATTAATAGTTTTTATTCAAATGAGAACTATCATGGATATGTTCATGACTGAACCTAAAGATGTTAACTTTGTTTATAAAGTTATTGAATACTTAACTATGTAATCACGATAGGCCTATTCAGCCTTATTCTATATGAACAAGCATTACCTTAAAAGAAATGAATCATACAATTTTGTCGTAAAATTAAACACAGCAATGTTTTGAATAGGCCTAAAATCAATATTGATAAATAATTTCATAAATCATAACGATATATTTTCTTCTAAATACGCATATTCATCACAGAGAAAACAAAAATTGATTCTTTATTGTAAATTGAAAAAAGAAAAATGAAAAATACTTGTTGTGCTTAATCTTTGAAAAAAAATGACTTATTTAATTGGCATTTTATTACTTAACAGTTCCCGTCACCGACAAATGGAGAGATGAGCTCCGCGATATCACCGAGCAGGCTGGCTTAGGTCTGCCGAATGAGATCAAACAGGCCCAGGCCGAACAGCCGAAGCGAACTTCGGTCTATTCGGCGGACACCGGTCGGCTAATTCCGCCTCCCTCTCGGGCGATGACGCGCGGTGCGTCGAGACAGAAACATCACGAGCACGATCTCATGTACCATATCGCTGTCGATGGCAGCAATGAATCACTGGTAAGTTTCATCATCTATTTGTTGCTCTTTATTTCTTCTTCTTCCTCTTCTTTTTTATTTCTTCTTCTTGTGCTCCTTCCCCGTCACCGATGTATAACTATTCAAGAAAGTGCCCTGCGAATGCAAAGGAAAATACCAAACAACTACCAAGCTATTAATAAAGAGGAGAGGATACTAGATTAAAATCAAATGCCAATATTTCATATAAAGCGAGAGTTAGAGAGAGGAGGAGGGAGAAACGTCAGTACATAGATTAAACCATTACAGATGGTGACTGATGAAATTGCTTTACACATTGAATGAGTTCACTTTCAATCAATCGTTAAACAGTAATTGATAACATTCGATTTACAGTTTGATTACAGGGTCTTTTGATTGTCCATATAGTAAAAAACACATTTATAAAAGGACAAATAGTCAACATACAGACTGATCTCTTTTCTCCTAGCTTTCTATCTGAAAACAATAGAATCTGCTATGCTTTTCATTGATACACTTCTTGTTAAATTCTTGTAACCAAGTTGCTGGCATGTCTAAAGCACATGACATGTGTTGAATGCTCTGTAATTATGTTACCTTGTTCCGAATTCTTCACTCCTTTGCCTCCGGCAGTCCTAAGCTTCGGAGCAAAGTTCGAATCGATAACTCATTGTCTGTTAACATGATTCGGCCGTGTAGTTGAAGTGTGTGCAGACTCGTGCAATCGATAACCTATTGTTAACACCTAACAATTGAATTCCAACGATGAAGGACGTGGAACAGTTCACGGAAGTTTGAAGACTTTTTTTTTCTTTCTCTTCTTATTCACAACAAACAACATAATTGTGCTTACAAGATGTGTACGAGACAAAATAATAGCGTCTGTCAAAGTCTGTCCATGACTCGGTTCAATAAATTTCAATAATGATTTAACCCTAACCCTAACCCTAAATTTTCCTATAGGGTCAGCACGCAAGTAACCCCAATCTGTGCCGCAGAAAAAAAATAACGCGCGCGGGAGAGGGGTGGGGGGGGGGGGAGCACCTGTGTACTAGAAGGGGAGGTACGCCGCCCGCCTAGTTAAGAATTCAACAACAGTTTTCAACATTTTATGATAGAGATAAAATAACAGTTCACACTCCCTTGAAAGGTTGAAAGTCCAGAAGTGTGCAAATGTATGGGTGTCTTGATTAACACATTTTGTGTTGATACAATGATAAGCCCCCGACATTATGAAATTTGCAAGATAAGACATGCATACACTTTGATGAAAATATGTTTAGTGAACAACTTACGAATTGCATGTACACTGTTAATTTTGTTTAACTTTTTCATGAAATGATTTTGACAATATGATGAAATATTGATTAATCTAGAGAGTCATATAGAGAAAGCGATAAATTACGTTCTGAAAAGATAATTATGAACTTTATTTATCAATATATATCACAATCATTTAATGAAAAGGGGTAATAAAACCTTATGGGCACCAATGTATTATTAAACGGTTATTAGTACACGGTATAAGATTAAAAGATTGATTTTTGTTTATGTGGCGTGTTATATATTATTTTGATATTCTGAAATATTCCTCGAAAGAAATTACCACTTATTGGAACACGAGGAGTTAACAAGAACCATAAGGTAATACAAATTGGGTCAAAAACTTAAATCTGGTGATGGCCCTTTTAAAGTTTGAAAGTTTCTGCAGTGCACAGGACGTGGGGGAAACGAATGACAGTGTATGCCGTTATTGAAAGTGTTGTGGTTCACGGTTCATATTATGCACGGTTGATGGATCATTTTCATTCCTGAAATTTGGTTTTACCTCGGAATCAAAATGACCATAGTTTAAATGCATAATTCTATTAATATATGCATCTCCATTACTTATATTCGCATCCCGTCATTCACGTGGACGTATAGATTTTATCTCTAAAAAGCCTTTCACATATTTTTCTTCTCAATTCAATTTCGTCGCGGTTATATTATTGCCTGCATAATAATTTTGCCAACAAGTGAATTTTGCACTGACTTCCCATACGAGTCACGGACAAGAAGCTATACATAAAAAGAGGAATTAATGAAGAGAAAAGATAATGACAAATATAAGGAAACAACATGCGATAGCTAGCGGCCATTGTTGAAAGAATAATGTCGTACCTTAGATTTCTATTTAAAGATTATCATCTCCTGTCATATCATAACAATGTCCCCGTTTCCGTCATTCACAGACCATAAAACGAGATAATGACGAAAATTAATGATAGGTATGGAAATTCTTGTCCCGTTCCCCAGGTGTTATTATGTTCACTGATTCAATCCATATTCTGATCTTATTTATTTCGACAGGTCCTTGAAATGCTTTGCCAAATTCTTCAGACCGACTCTCTCACTGCAGTGCAATCTTGGCTCGTATCAGCTGGGGATAGAGGTATGTTGACAACCCGCCAATGCGTGATTAATTCTTCTGATAATTAATCATTGATTAATAATAAAGAGATAATGGATTGATATTACATGTTATATTTCTTTCCTTGTGGGGGAGGGGGATGGGCGTGGCATTAGCGAGAGAGATAAAGAGAGAGAGAGAGAGAGAGAGAGAGAGGGAGGGAGGGAGGGAGAGAGAGAGAGAGAGAGAGAGAGAGAGGTGGGGGGGGGGCTGATGTAGAGAGATATTTCACGAACTGCGTACATGATGGAGTATACTAATGAACAGACCTAAATGAATAGGAAGGGACAAAAGTTGTATATGAATTTTGACAATGCAATGAAACGAAATGAGAAATGAGAAATGAGGAATTGTTTAATGTCTTAAAATACTAAGTTAGAAGAGAGAACAAGATGTTATGGAAGAACATGAATAACACATATTAAGTTACATTATTAATAATGACGAATCGCGTTTTCAAAATAAGGATGCCGACGATTATTTTTTCCTTCTGCTTCAAAACTTCTTTTAAACATTTGCATTCATTTACGAAATCGTCTCCATCTTTCAATTACAAACTTATCATTAAATATCACCCGAACTGTCTTAGGCATTAAGGTATTGTAAAATAAGTTGATATTTATTTCTGATCTTGCTCCTAACCTATAGAAAAGTCGCTTGTACTTGACATGATTCGGTCAGCGATGAACAGCGAGGCCGATTATTTCCAGCGCAATATCGCCGAGGCACCACCGCCACCGCGTCCATCGACCAACCTACCGGCAAACATGAACGTCACAAACGGTTACGGAGACGTCGACATTCCTTCGCCGCCGCCGTTCGCCGGGAGGGACGTTCGTTACCAAGCCGTGGCTGAAGCCGCAGCGGGCCTTAAGACGCCAAAGAAGGCAGAGAACCAAGAAAAGACGATATTTGATGCAGAAGGTATTTGCCTTTCCATTTCCCAGCCTCTTCTATTCATTCTTCCATCTTATTCCAACTTCTTTCGTTTCTTTATATAATTCCACTGAACAGTCATCTTTTCATTCTTTTCTATCTCTCCAATATCTGATCTTTCCTTTATTACTTCTGCTATATTATTATCATATACTGCTATTCCTACTCCTTCTACTACTATGTCTACTTCTTTTTTTTGGTTCTACTACTGTATGCTACTACTACTACTACTATTACTACTATACTACTACTACTGCTACCACTTCTACTTCTACTACTACTACTACTACTTCTACTACTACTAGAAATACTTCTACTACTTCTACTTCTACTAATACTTCTACTTCTACTTCTACTTCTACTTCTACTTCTACTACTAGAACCACTTCTACTTCTATTACTACTACTACTACTACTACTACTACTACTACTACTACTACTACTACTACTACTACTACTTCTACTACTACCACTACTACAACTACTATTACTACTACTTCTTCTTCTACTACTAATAATACTTCTACCTCTGTTACTCCTACTACTCCTCCTCCTACGATAACACATTGCCATGACAACACATTTCTGTTCACATTAGTTTTTGTGAAATTTTCTCCTTAGGAAGTTTACCAAAGTTGGATTTGAGAAGGAAAAAAGATGCAAATGGTAAGACAATTGGTGTCAGGGTTTTAGTTGCTTGTTGTGGATTCCGACACCATTCCTCCGCATGTAAGACCGATTGTTTTGAGTTTTTCAGTGCAGTACCAGAGTTTCTTGAAGAAGTACAACAGGAGTTTATGCAGTAATTGAAGTTTGCTTGATGCTGTGTGGGGGTATAGGATGAGACGTAAACACACTGTGGGGCAAAATAGGACATCCATATATGCATTTTACATCACTTTTAGTCATGAAGTTTTTTTTACATTTTCAAAGATAATAATTGCTGCATTAATAAATAACAACATTGAGGTCCAAATAATAATAGTGAAATATTAAAACCATCCCACCATCTGTTGGTGTGTTTCGGGGTGACAAAAACATACAGTGGCGTATCAAGGGGGGCACAGGGGGGAGGGGGGGGCACGTACCCCCCGGCAAAAAAAATAGTGCTCACTACCCCCCCCCCCCCCTCCTCGCCCGATTTACAAATTTTCGGGAGCAAAAAATAAAAAATAAATAGTGCTCACTACCCCCCCCCCCCCCCCCCCCCCCCCATCCCCCTCCACCCTCTAAGAAATCCTGGATTTGAAAGTATCGTTTTTCAAAAGAAAAACATATCATAAACAGATTAGTTTACCAGCAAAGTTCATTTAATGTCGGGCAGGATTGCTGAAAAAGGCTAGTATAAAAGGAAAATTAAAAAAAAGAGACTTGTCTGTAAACTGCATGTAAAGCGCTTGTAAATTGCATGAAATATGTTCTTTTAATTGTGTCTTTGCATTGGCTTGAACTGACAATCCAGGTGTCTCGGTGAGGATTTCGAGTTTGAGGTGTTTGACAATTTTGTTCAAATTCCCTTTGTTTTATGTATTAATTTTTTATTTTTTTGTATTTATTAATATATTTGTTTACTTTTTTTTTTATATATTTAAAAAAATATATATATATTTATTATCATTATTATTATTATTATTTTTATTATTATTATTTTTTTTTTTTGGGGGGGGTAAATTATCATCATACATTATGTCATAGTTACTTGTTATAATTCAAACTATAGTAATACAAGGTTTGTTAGTGGGTATTTGTTAATCTTGGGGATTTATTTACTTGATTTAGAAACTTGGGGGAAAAGATCCTTTGCTCACTCGTGTCCTACCTTATGAAATAGCATTCCTGCATGTATGAAGACATCAACAAGTGTACAACCTCTGATTCCTTTAAAAATCACGTAAAAACACTTGTGATTAATTCATAATTATTTCTACATGCGTCATGAGCACTCCACAGAGTGGATTTGGCGCTATATAAGTTACATTTATTATTATTCTATTGATATTCGTAATGGCATTCAACCCTGATCTTGAAGAATTTACTTTGGCAATCATGAGAAAAAATTTTTTAAAGCCCTAGTGCACTACTTGTAGCTACTTGCTCCCTCTATATAGAAAACAATGCCATGCAAGTGGTGCCCGTTGGTCCCCATGATCCCCATGTTAATTGAGAGCTTCTGACTGAACTAGTACAGCCGGCCTTTAAGGCAAACACTTTACAAGAAGTTCAAACTGATAAGGTATGTTTATCTTTTTTATTTCAACAGATCACCCAGCCCTGCGACAAAGAAGCCACAAACCAGATGTCTTCAAGGTCGAACACAATAGTTCTCCCCGCCCCGCCACCAAAAATGGGATGCATCCAGCGAAGCTCCCGCCCCTCTCACCGCCAAAGCATGATGGTGGCCAACAAGACATTCAGAATGGTGTCTCTTGGAAACCGGACGAGGCCGTCGTTTGAAGGTCATCGTCAACGTCAGGGCACTGTGGTCTGACCGTCTGAAAGTCACTTTCAAATTCATGAGAAAAATCTAAACTGATAATCTACAGTCTATCATTACAGGAGGGCATTGTTACGCATGAGAAGATTTCTTCAAGAAAATTATTGAGACTACAACGTAATTGATCTCATCCAGGAGAGCCGACAAAATCGTTTTTATATTGTATAAATAATAGGGAGTCTAGCTCTGACATTAAGTTATACAGGTAGAGCATAAACCTTTGCCTATTAAACAGAGATACTGTTTTGAAGTGCTTGCTTTGTTCAGTACATATACATAATCAAAAAAGACATAATAGAGTAAAATTATCCACTTTAGTTCAAAATTATTGTTACCATTGTGGTAGGGAGCTGTAACGGAACAAATATTAGTACCTCACTTTTTAGAATGTTTTCATAATGAATTCACAACGTTTCCAACGATTGTGATTTGTTTTGCTGAGGTTAAGTCAGATTTTATGGCAGAATTGTATCACCGTCTGTGTCCTATGCATAATTATGGGCATTACTTGTGCATCGTGTGCGGAACTGGTCCTTTAAATATACTAATGTTTGTTGATTGTCTGTCTAGAGTCAGAAGGATGTTAATTGTGTGCTCTCTCAGCTTCAGAAAGATGTTAGTTTTGTTTAAACTCCTAGTTATATACAGTATGTCGACTCTGGCATTATTCATAGGCAAAGACCCTATAAGAATTAACCCCAGACAATTTAATGTCAGATGACTGCAAGAAAGCCCTTACTTACATTGACAAAACAAAGCTGTTATGCCTTCTTGCAGTTCTCGAACATGTTACCATTACATCTTAATATGGGCTCATATCCACACTAGAAAAAAAAGGGGGAAAATTAGAGAGATAAACAATAAAAGGGGAGAAAGATTTCGTTGAACTCTATTTCCAACAAAATATGTTACTGTATTATTTTGTAGATCAATCTCACAAATTAGCTTCTTCAAAAGTATATTTTGATGAGAGAAGAGGAGAAAGAAAAAAACTTTGGCTTTATATAAATATCTTTAATTGTGTAAGAAGATACTTTAAGATGAGGCTGACTTGTATTTCAAGGCATTTGACTCATGCACTTATCGGCTGCAATGTGTGAAAAAAGGACACTGAAATAAGATCCAGTATAAATGCAGCTTAATGTAGTACAAGGTAGCATAACGAGAAAAAGAAATATTGGATATTAAATCCTAAGTTTACTTTCTTCTGATAAAATGTTGATAATTTTCAACAATATTGTAAGTTCTTTAAATAAACTTGACCATGGTGTCAATAAAAATCATTTCAATACTACTATGAATTTGAGACAAGATTTGTTCAATCCTTTCAGAAGTATATTATGTAGTCTGTACAGTTTTAATTTTGCCTGTTTGGAGACAGAAGGGCATTAACTCAATTGCTTTGATATTGTCTTTGAGTTAATGTCCTGTTTCTGAACAGACTTTATTACCAATTCAAGTTTTCAAATTGACTCCAGAAATTTGACATGAATTGAATTAGATGGATTATTGGTACATATTGTGTATTTTTCTACTAATCAAGTAATACATGTATGTTTCTTTGATGCAATATATAGTGTTGAATTAGTTATATAACAATTATGCAACTCTATTTCGTGTTTAAATCGAACTATAGTAGTGTCAAATATTGTCTAGTCAGTAACGTACTGGTCTGTATCAGTTTATGAATTTGTTGCAATGTTGGATATCATTATTTTTTACATGTCGATCACTCACATATTTGCAGTGCTGCTTTGAACAGGAGTTATATTTGATTTTATTTTTTTGCAGTTAAACTCTTTAATGATTATGTATCCTTCATCCTTTCCAGTATTTTTGTGAACAGTAAAAGCTTTGAAATAACAATTAATTTCACAATGTTTGCTGCTGCTAATTATGCTTTTATTAGCCACTTTGTTAATTTCTCTAAAATCATACACTAGGTGATTTTGTATGTTAAACACATACAATTGTAGGACATCCAATGAAAGAACATTCATTTAAGAACAGTCATTGGTAAAACACAAGAAATTTATCCAATTTAAGATGATAGATATACTGTAAAAAACAAGCAGCATTTACATTCCTAAAATGCTAATATCAAGATTTTAGCATTAATCAAGGATTAACATTTCTTCCAAAATTTGATTGTGAATTTTTTTTAAATAAATTCAATGCTTGTACATACACTCATCTTGATTTTAAAAAGGTGAAAGCTGTTGTGTATATTCAAACCCACTGTATTAAGGGGAGAGAAGTTGGACTATTTTGTTGTAATATACTATTGAAATAACTTTCATGGTGAATAGAGTACCGTATGCAAGCTAATATTTGTGCTATGCAACTTTAAAAGGTGATTCTTTATACTAATTCTATTTATATGTATGCACGCTTGGCATTTTCCTAACATATAAAACAATTTCCGTCCATCAATATTGTTATACTCGTGTTTTGTACTAAATATTAACCGCATGTAAATATTTCTTGCAATGCTATCTATAATATTTCTTTGCTTCCAAGTTCCTTGTGCTAAGCACCTATTTTCAAAATATTTGAAATTAAAAAAATATATGTAAAACTAACTGTATTCTTTCATCATTCATTTATTAGTAGTCTTCATTTCGTGTATTTTTGTCATTTTGACAGACAAGTTCTGGTTCAACATCAAATTAGAATCTATAAATTAAAATCTATCTTACATGAAAAACTGTACCATTTTGCATACTTGATAAACATGTATTGTTTATACTTCATGGAATCGATGAATCTTCCAGAAAACATACTTTTACCTGTACTGATTTCTTGTAAACATGTCTTTTATTGAATATCACATATCCAGGAATCTCCATGTCAGATATTTGCAAGTGCTCATTTAACCAATTCTTTATAAAAAATAAAAAAAATAAAAAATATCACAAATTTTAAAAACATGAGACGATTCACTGTGATAGTCTTACCTTTGAAGCACACATACTTAAGTACACAAGTGATAAAGATATCACTTTCAAGGTTATTTTCCAATACCCAAACCAGTTGGTTACTCTTTGGCCTATCAATCACAAGCGATTCAACTTCAGAAATGAGAATTATGAAACAAGATTGTGATACGATGAAGATTACAGCACAGAGAATGAATCAGGGGAAAAGCTACATTTCTAAATTTGACATCCTGAAACCAAGGTTTTAATAAAAGCTGTTATTTTTCCCTTCCAAAAAAAAAAAAAATGGATACCGAAAAGTAGCCAATTTCCAATACACTGAAATGGCTAACCCTCACAAGAGAATCTCTAAAATTTATTAACAATTTCAGACATGCATTCTTGGGTGAGGGTGAATTTCATCTCCTGTAAAAATAAACAGTGAAGAATTAAATGATACAGAACAGTTTGTAGGTATATTATCTGCACATGGGCAGATAAAGGTCATTTGAACAAAATTGTAAAACCCATCAAGATATACCGGTATGTGTTCATGAAAGTAACATCATCATTATTCATTTATGCACCAATCATGGTTCGTTCTGTGATACACAGGTGGTAGTATTCTTTTCAAGCGGGCAAACAAAACATTGTCAAGAAGCACCTCCATCACTTCGGCAGGGATTATTCTTAAAATGCGCAAAGTGGGACTTCTACAGGATTGAAAACTGGAGGGTGTTTCACAAAGATTAAGGTTGACTTTAACTATAATAATAATAATAATATTTAATTTTTATATAGTGCTTAATACAAATGCCTCTAAGCGCTTTACAAATATACTATTACCCCGGTCATTGGATTCAGTGCTTGCCATTCATGCTCCTGGTTGCTCTCAATATTGGTCTCTCTATTATGATCTTTAGATTATATTTTTTTCTTCAATAATAAACTATCAAAAGCTTAAATTCTGTAGATTTGTGACCACGATTTATAAGTCCCTTGATAGACCAATGCCAGTAAATGGTGACAGCAAACAGTGGCATTAATACCCTGCCGTAGTTAAGTCCAACTTCAAGTCAATCTTAGTCTTTGTGAAACACCCCCCTGGTCTAATTGGATAATAAATTACACTTCCTGTAATTAACCTTGTGAAAAATTTGAAGCTATTTAATAGTAAATTACATCTCCTGTAATAAACACCATGGAGAATTTGAACATGTGCAAAGGATCCTGTAACTAACAACAGAAGTATAGATGCCAAGGATGAAATTTACATGGAAACAGGTGGGGCAAATTACTGAAATCAACTACTTATGGGTGCAACCAGGGGAGTGTTTCACAAAGACTAAGATCGACTTTAACTATGGCAGGTCGTTCATGCCACTGTTTTCGCTCACCATTTACTGGCATTGGTCTGTCAAGGGACGTAAAATCATGGTCTCAAATCTACATAATTTACATTTTTTGATAATTCATTATTGAAGGAAAAAATATTACGTAAAGATCATAATGGTGAGAACAACCAGTGGCATAAATGGCCTGCCATAGTTCAGTCCAACGTAAAGTCAATCTTAGTCTTTGTGAAACACCCCCCTGATCTATTTTTCATGAACAGGATATGGAGAGGCTACAATCTGGATGAAATATGGAAGAAAAGAAATAGGAAATCGTCCTTAGCTTAGTATACTGAATCCCTTTTGTCTTGTATCCAAAAGCGAAAAGTATTAGAGCGAGGGCTTTTGTTCACCAATGCCGCAATTTACTGGGATTCTTTAAACGTTCTTAAGCATACTGCATTCACATTTTTATATCTTAGACCACACAGATAGGTATGTATACGAAGGACCATTGTTATGAGTAGCTAATTTTTCAACCCCACTTGCCATTTTTAGTTAAGAAACAGAAAAAGATTAAAAAAACAAAACATTATTTACTGCAGTTTACCTGAACAAGCATTAAAGCTAACACTCCATTATTTTGTTGGCAGGTAATTAGACCTTATTTTCTAATACAAAGCTGATTAAAATAATTGATTTAAGTCATGATTTTTAAAAACTGATTCAAATTGGTGCTGTTCATTTATGTAATTTCACATACTTGATTTAAATTGTTAAATGAAGGAGGAAAAACAGGAGAATCCATGCATGATCACTACTGGCATTTGCCCTCACATTAAACCAAAGATTGTGGACTCCATTTTGCTATCATTTAAACAAACTTTGATTACAAGACACTTAATCTATCATGTTATAACATATACAACAACTTTAATCATCCAATTGTGGAACATTTTTATCCACACTCACTCAGTCATTGCACTGACAGACAGGTTTTCCTCCCTTTCAAAAATGTTTCTGTCAGCTTAATGCATCCTTATCTCCACATTCATCAACTTTAACTGTCGGCTTCTTATCAAAGTCAAGTTTTTCTGAGTGAAACTCTTTTGCATCGCTTTGGTTGATTAAGTTCTCACTCCTCGTGCATGTACTGCTGGTATTCTCAACAGAGCTAATGACATCATTTTGAAGGTCCTTCCCCAGACGTTGATCATCATCTGAATCACCATCCTCGCTTGTCCTGTCATCAACAGAATGATTCTCCTCTTCTTGTCTTGCGTTAACAACAGAGACCTCCTCCTCCTTTGATGCGTTCTGATCCTGTTCATCGACGGAGGCTTCATTAAGATTTGATGATGATTGATTCATGTCGTCATGAGCTGAGTTGTTTTCAGAGAGAAACTTTTCCACCTTGCGGTTTGGCAAGACTTGGAAGAAAGCATCTTTCCAGTTGCCAAGTTGAATATAGGCCAGGATGATCTCATAAACTGAGAAATAGAAGTAAACGTAGAAGAGATTAAATATTAATCCTGATCCTAAATCTGCACCATCTGAAATATATACTTGTAGCCCTATAATGAAGGTATAGTTTAGTGTTCAGTTCCTTTAAAGCCTGTCTGCACCAGTTAGCTAGGTGGGATTAGACTTCCCTGCAAGGTCACTGACAGGTGGTTATCTCATCAAATCAGCTCTCAACATAAGAAAAAGGGTATCATGGGGGACCAACAGGCACCGATTAGGCATTGTTTGCTATATAGGCAGTGCAGTTGGGCTTTAAACCTATCATTGCCACATATTTTATGACCCTGATAATAAACAAACGAAAACCTAATTCAAGTTTTTGAGAAAAAAATAGTTAAAAGGAAGAAGAAAAAAACGTATACCATAATACTCAATTCAAAATAAATCTGACATCCTCCAACCTAACCATGTGCAAAATTCAGTTTGATATGAATAATTCAAACTCACAGAGATAAAATTTATCCAAAATGTCATACATTTTAAAAAATTGAATAGAGTCATGTTTTATTTTAAACAAACATGAACAAATATATCTTCTTCTCCTTCTTCCATTTTGAGTACATACCTCTTTACAGAGTATTATCGTACTATACTGGGGGCTTGTGCAGGTAAACCACTACACCGGGGTTTCCCCCTACTCTTATACGAATAGTGCAGTGGGTTTTTAACATGCAAAGGTAGTGACTCTTCTCTACACGGGGCCTCCATTTAACGTCCTATTCATATATTAGCTCTGGGGTAATAAGACTTTCATCAATGTTTCTGTCCATAGAAGCAGGATGTTGCCAAAAATTATACACTAAATATAGTATTCACTTGGCCTGACATGCTACGCAGGAGTAGAAAGCAAGACTTACCATGGTTGACTGCTAAAACTTTCCTAGAGTTCAATTTCACAAAGTCACCAATAGGAAGCTGCGCATGGCTCCAACCCTGCTCTAACACTTTCTCATAGCAGTACCCCTAGCAAAATATGAGGAAACATATATTGTGAAGATGGAAATATATGAGTAAATGTTTGTACAAAAATAATAACAATAATACTGACAATAAATTATTCTTTTATAGCGCAAAATGCAGGGATTTATCTCTATGCACTTTACAAAGATAACAAAGAAAAATAAATTAAACTACTATGAAAGAATCATAAAACTAGTGAAGGAGGGGAAAACTTTAAGGTGTAATAGAATAACAAGATAGACTACATGTGGTATACCGTAATTATATGAAAGTATATTTACATAGATATCCTTTGCAACTGAAGTATAGCTTGAGAAAACTAAGCTGGATTTAATCATTTTATGCATACTTTGCATCTAGATGGAATGCTTTATTTATTCACACCAGAGCCCTGTCTAATAAACAGTTGCGATTGATTTGAATCACTTGCAACTTGAAATTAATCGCAACTCCTATCTCAGTCTAAGGTACACAGTTGCGATTGATTTAGGTGCGACTGCACTCTTTACAATAGAGGGCCTAGAATCACATTCTAAAATTATCAAAGCACATATAGCCAATCAATAAGACAAGGTCTATTTCTCTACCAGCTTACTGCTTAGGAAAATACTTTAAAATTCTGGCACAAAATCAGTTACATGAACTAGGCTATTACAACCATCCAATATCAAAGGTTTAACCTTTCTTAAGTATGCTGAAGAAATCTAGTCATCTAATTGATCGAAATCGGAGTCTTGATTTTAGCAATGCCCGCTTGATGGTCAATAGTTAATGAGAAGGATGACCATTACCCTGGCACGCCTCGGGGTCATATAGCAGGATGTAACGTCTCCTTGAGCCTATAGAAACAGTGATGCCTCTCATAGCAGTCAATATATCTGTACTATAAAAGCCTAATTGAAGGCATCTAACAATAAGCAAAATGTGAACAGATTCTACTCAGAAGTGACGTTTACCTTGTGATGGTTGTGATCCACTAGACCGCCGATGATATAGACCTTGTTAGGATCCAGGTCTTGGAGCATGTTAGGAGACTCGGCTGCCAAGTAGACAATGTTGTCTGCACCAAACGTTGCTTCAGGCTCTTCCTCCCTGAAGTGAATCTGTAATGAAACGATCAAAAGTTAAAGCCCGTCTGTACTAGTTTGGCCGGGGGGAATTAGACCTCCCTGCAAGGTCACTGACATGTTGTTAACTCATCAAATCAGCTCTCAATTAACATAAGAAAAAGAGGATCATGGGGGACCAACTTGCACCGATTAGGCAATGTTTGCTATATAGAGGGCGCAAGTAGCTATAAGTAATGCAGTGGGGGTTTTAAAATGAATATCAGATTTTTGATTTTGGAGGTTGGGGGTGGGGGGGGGGGGGTAGTTGGAGATGCCATGCCATATTAGAGGTATCATAGTAAGACATGACTTTTATACTAATTTTTTGAAATTTCAACCCATTAATTACAGAATCGTCTCTTACCAATAGGCTTTATACAGTTACAACATGATTAGAGACATTGTATTAAGAGCTATATAAAGGCGTAATATTATTATTATTACTCTCAAACCTACGATCTATACAAAAGACATTCAGGGCCAAATGATTTACTCGACACCCATTGAGTTTTTATATCACTTACATCCCATTTTTGGTAACCTTCGATGACATCATCCAAGATCTGCTTTGTCTTATCTTTCAGGTTGGATACATAGAACTGGAGAGGTTTGTTTGCTTTTCTGTTCTCTGAATAACACCTCTGTATCTGCTTGATTAGCTTCTTGACGTCCTATTCAACAATACAACGGAGAAAGCAAAATAATCGTGAAATTACATGTATGTAACTACATAATTCCATGTTGTTGTAAAATATGATTTTTCGGCCCACATAGTTCAGGACCAAATGATTTACTTTACAGCTAATGAGTTTAGAGGTACCCACCATAACATTAAATTTAACTCTCGAAAACAATTATTTTTTACTATCAAAATTGATTTTATTTTATTTGAGATAATTTGATTTATTTTTCCACTCAAATATCCACAAATTAAAATGACATAACATAAATGACATGACATAAAACCACACAGTATTACAGTATATAATAAAACAAATGAATTATACAAGTAAAGAAATACTGGTAAGTATGTATGTAATAAAATAAGTTTACAGAGTACACTTAAGTTTGAGAATAAGACAAAATATTATATATTGCTTGATTTAACTGAGAGGGGAAAAAAGGACTCTCAGAAAAGCTAGGCTCGTTGGGTGAATAGCATTTATGTTCCAACTAACATAACATTACTGGGCACCTAGGGACCATATAAGTTGCCAACAAGAATTTATTAATATTACCTCGTAATAAACTATACCTTATTAAAGTTTTCCAACTACTAGTTCCTCTTTGATAACTAGATACCTTTTTAGGTAGCTGAACAAAAATTCTGGGCAGTAAGATTATATTGGATTTTCCCTGAATTTCTATTTTACATTAATATTGCCAACAAGTAGGAAACTTACTGATTCTGCAGTATGAAATACTGGATTTTCCCTGAATTTCTATTTTACCTTATCGCCAACAAGTAGGGAACTTACTGATTCTACCATGAGAGAGTCGTAAGCACAGTCGACGGCTACCCTGATGTTACTAGCTTCAGGGTCACTCATCTTCCTCTTCTTCACGCCAAGGCTTTCCTCATCTAGTCCTTGCTGTCTCGCCTCTTCCAACATCTTCCTCTTTTTTTCTTTGATCTTCTCTTTCTCCTTTTTCCTGCAAACAAATAGACAGTAAGCAGAATAAATAGGGGGTGAGTAAGCTCAACATCGAGCATGACTTCCTGGGTCCCGTTTGCATGAAGCTTATTATAAGTAACAAGTTACAATAACTGTTATAAGCTACTGAAATCAGGGTATTTGATTGGCTGAGAGCAAACTTGTCATACAAATTTAGCATTTGTAATTGATAACAAGTTTAATGAAACAGGGCCCTGGGGAGTGTTTCACAAAGATCCTAAGTTGAATTTATCTCTAAATTGGACTTAACAATTATGGAAAACCATTAGCATCTTTGAAAATATTTTGTAAAAGATATTTCAAAAGGCCTAAAATGTTGATTTAAATCATTCATATTTTCTATTATCATGGGAGATATCATGTTCTTGATGTGGAATTTATGAAAAGTCAAAAACACTGGAACTTTAGCTTTTGAATATATATTATTTTAAGGCTACAAACAGTTCTCCATAATTTTTAAGTCTAACTTAGAGTTAAGTTTGACTTAGAATCTTTGTGAAACACCCCCAGGCCATATAAAGCTGAAGACCAAGTTGTGTCAGAGGATGCAGGAGGCTATACCCTGCCTAAAAGGGGCCAACGCCCTTAACTCTAATTCTTGAAAGACCGAGTGGCATCAAAAAGTGAACTCCATCTCAGCCGGAGCCATCACATGATGATGACCTCAAGAATCAGAAGGGGGAGATGGGAGGGGGGGGGGAGGAGAAGGGAAAGAGAACAAAAGGATATTATGACGGGATAAAGAGGAGAGTGATGAGAGGGAGAAAGGAGAGACTTGTGGGGTGGAGGGAGGGAGGGACGGAGGGACGGAGAGACAGACAAACAAACAGACAGACAGAGACATAGACAAGAAAGAGAGCGAGCAACTAAATTCTCAGAGGCCCATTAAAGATTGAAGATAATATGTTAAGTCACATGAACTATTTCTTTATAAAATTTCTCATAAACTTTCTTGACAAATATTACATACTAAACATAGTTAACTATATTATCACGACACCTGGTAGGGCGTTTCACAAAACTTGTCATCAGTGACAAATGACAGTTTTTGTTATAAGCTACTGAAATCCTTGCTTCTGATTGGTTATCAGCAGATTTGTCCCTGATTTTTGTCATTTGTCATTGAAAAAAAAGGCTTTGTGAAACAGGCCCTGGCATCATACCTTCTCTCCTTCTTTGTTTCTGCCCATCTTTGAAGCCTGAGCTGTTTCTTCAATTGGTTTTTCGATAGGGTTGGCATCACCTCCGTCTCTAAAGCTTCAGCCTCAGGGTTCGTATCGTCCTCGCAATCCACTTTCCCTTCCATATTTCATACAGCAAAGTGACAATTTCCTGAAATCCACAAATAAAACAGAAATTATTAAAGGTAATACAAAGTTTAAGGAAATTTTGAAAATTGGGTGGATAGTGAATCTTTACAATTTTGATATATTTGGATGCCCCTGTGGATGTATTATAAGCATCAAGAACATTAGCCCCTAAAACACTTCTGTTTTCGAGAAAATTTAAATACAAAAATTTACTGGTGCTCCTGGTAAATTCTGATAAATTTCAAATACGGCCTATGGCTGTACAATGGTAGCTGAGACCATGAAAATCTCAGAATATGTAGTTGTGATATATAATTCCCAAACGGGAATAGCTAATCGGCTGATTTTAGACAAGAAACATTGTTTCACAGCTAAATTAATATCTTGACCTTGAGAGGGATCTATACAGCATAAAGAGTTTATTATTTATAATTTCATAACTTTAGACTCGATTTCATCCGCGACAATGATCAATGAATATTGTAGGAACGCATATGCTTCTAATATGTTGATTTGAACCAAATTCATGACCCCATACCAAAACTTTGTAATACCTTTAAGTGTAACATTAACAAGAGATAAAGACATAAAGGCTCTTGCCATAATCCATATGACTGTAGTTTTGTGAAATACAAGATAATTTACTGAACCAATTATTTACTGCTTTACTGTTAATGCTGTTATTTTCGCGCCGAGCTGTGACCCCAAAACATATTAGCAGGTTCTTAAATTTGCGTTGCACACAATTCAGCCCTTTCAAAACACACATAAGAAGTCATGCTTATAGACCATATTCAAGGGTCTTAATATTCACGGACACCAACTTTAGGGCTATATTAAACATGATAAGGTACAAATCTTTCAAACACACAAATCCTGCACATGTACAAAACAAATGTGAGAAAAATACAAATTATTGTTGGAATACTTAGTTAGGCCTAGGGTCTACACAAATTTAAGCATACGGGACAGGGCACAAAACGTTCACAATACATTGCTCTCATCTTAAGCTACAGTGCGGAATTATACGGTGATAATATAATAATCTGTCAAAAATGATGTAGTTTCAACTGATAAGGCCTCATTTTAGGATTAAAGCTCTATCAACTCACCAAAAAGCACGTCAGTTCATTTTGGAAAATTTGCTCTACATGTTGTTGTTGTTGTTCGTTTGGTATTATAATGGCTATTAGTCAAATTTGACTATTGTTGCCAATTTCATCGCATCTCTTTCTTTTAATGTCTTGGTAAAATTATTATTTCTTTCTTTCTTTTTCCAATCTCATTTTAATATAATATTAGTCATAGTCTACAAAAAAATAAAAACAAAAAATTATTTCAAATTAAACCACGATCCGCACACAGTTCCAACTCACGCTGGCCCTGTCCTTTCTATGATGCCTTCTTACCAGCCCAGCGAGTTATGTTACGCCGTACGCTTCTCGGTTGATAAACTCAACCTAGGTCACTCTGGCATAGACAAGGGGGCGTCGTGTACCTGTATGTTTAGAGGGTTTATTTATTTATTAGGAGAAAGACAACTGCATAAGCAAAACACTTGTGGGCTTTATTAGTTTATATGAGTTAGTTCATGAAATTATTTATATAGCGCATGACTTTTAACTACTATAATCATTGGGGGTGACATGCTTTCGAGTAATGATATAGCAAGTTTTAATTGCTTTTTTTCTTTTCCCCAGCAGATTTCATGTATCCTTCTCTCTCTCTCTCCTCTCCACTTCCCTAAAGTTGTGTGTATGTATTAAGATATGTTTTTCGATTGGTCAAATAAATAATGTTAAATTGTTTCAATCATTATTATTTTTTTTTTTAATTAAAAGAGGCCTAAATAAGATATATAGGTCTATACGATCAAAACTTCAAATAAGACACTAATACAGGTGTAGGCATAAGGTTATACACAAAAAACCTATTTTCTCTTCTATTCAGCTCAAATTGATTGCGGTTTCTGTTTTTCATCTCTTTTTGATTTTACTTTTTACATAATCGCTTCGTTCTAAAAACGAAGCGAGAAATTGCCATTTGTACATGAGAGTCACTGTTTCGTAAACATATCATAATGTCCTCTTCCTTGGAAATATTAACTTCTGACATTAACATGGCCCTTTCTATTATATACTTTGGACATTCTATCAAAAAATGTCTGACCGTTTCTAATGTTGGGCAGCTGTCACAGAAACCTGTGGAGTGGATGCCCAAACGCAAGAGGTCTTGGTTGAGTCCAGACACTCCCAGGCGTAGTCGCCTAAGAATAGTTTCAGTTTTTCTTCCCAATTTACAAGAATATTGTGAGATAACATTTGGCTGAAGGATTTTTAATGCCGATTGGGTATCATTCCACCTTTCTTGCCAAAGTAACTTTGAACTGTACAAAATTAAACTTGTCTTTTCAAATAAAGTCAATTTATTATGCATTTCAATTTCCTGAGTTAGAGCTTTTTTTGCGTAGAAGTCTGCCTTTTCATTTCCCACTATCCCACAGTGGCCTGGAATCCATTCCAAAGCGATTTCGATCCCTCTATATTTCAATCGGGTCGTTATTATAAATATTTCTGTGACAAAGGATTCGTCACTAAAATGTTTCAAGGCTGTGAGGGCACTTAAGCAGTCGCTAAAAATGACTGCACCTGTATAGATGTTTGTTTCTTCGATCCATTGAAGGGCAAGAACAATTGCAGCCAACTCGGCTCTATACGATGAGGTAAAATTCGCTAATCTTTTACATTGGTGTACAGAAAAGTGTGGGATATAGAAAGCAGCCGAGCATTGGCCCTTCTCCGGAAACTTAGATCCATCTGTATATATATGCAACTGGTTCGACCATTTTGTATTAATCAATTTTAAGCTTTGTTGCTGTAGTTCATTCGGATGGTCGGCTTTTGAAATCCGAGAGCTCAACTCGGTCGAAACCAGTGGGGGTTCAAAAAGCCATGGCGGAAATGGGGATGGTACGGCAGTTTCTGTCATGAAGTTTTTTATTTTACTCTGGGTTCTATACCCGAAAGGTTTACTAAGAAAGTCTTTTCCCTTTAGATAATCAAATTGCCAACATGGCCCTATGTTTTGTGATAATGGGTGGTTTGGGGATCTTTCGATACTTTGTCTATATTTACTTGACACAATTTGTCTCCTTAGATCCAAGGGAAATTCCCCCATTTCCACTTGTAAGGATTGTAGGGAAGTGAGAGGTAGTCCTCCCGCACAAATCCGTAGCGCCTGGTATTGCACCGAATCAAGTGCCTTTTTTGTGGTGGTAGTAGCGGTATCGCCCAGACAACAATATAAAATGAAATAGAAATAAACAATAATATGCTCACATTCCTAATTCGGGCTCTCGCATAAAAATAGTTGACAATAATAATCAAGAAAAATCATATTTTGAGAATCTATCGGTCGACTCCATGTCAATACTCAGAGCAGTTACAAAATATAAAAATGTCCCGATGATGTGCATTATTTGGGCCACTTCCCTACACTTCCTTACGGATCCAGCCGGCGGCAGGGGAGGGGGCCAAAGATGGGGCCAAATTCGTGAGAAAAATATTTAGCGGCGAAACAGCCAGCCAGGGAATAAGCAAAGGGAGGGGGGGGGGGGGTAGTGAAAACTAAATTTTTGTTTGCCCTTGATAATTTGAAAATCGCACTCCCCCCCCCTCGAACACCAAGGGAGGGGGCCCGTCCCCCCCCCCCCCCAAAAAAAAAAAGGTAACATTAATGTGTTTTACCTGGGTTTTTCGATGGGAGAGGGCCCCCTCCCTGGATCCGCCCCTGCTTCCCACAAAATTGTGCATCGTATAAAAAAACATACATTTTGGGTCAAGATAAAATGACTTATCATCAATATCATAATGTCGGATCACTTTCTTTTCTTTGCATGTGGCATGACAACATCTTTTATTATGTTTAATGAAGACAAATGGTTTCAATGGGCAGATTTATGGTGTGTCCAAAAAATTGAAATAAAAGTACTTTTTATATAATGATTTCCAAAGCTCTTTGGAAGCGTATAGAGAAGTTATAATTTAGTATGCGCTTTACAAAAACCAAATATTATTTGTTATATATTATTGTTATTATTTAAAAGCCCTTTATTTTTAATAAATCACACTATCAGATTTCATTGTACCATACATATAATATACAATTTCCAAATGCATTTTGAACAGGTATAAGTACTTCAAACTAATAATAACATAATATCAAATGAAAGTTAATACATATCTTACATGAAAGAAATTTTGAGCCCAAAATGATATTTTTAGTTTAAAACAGAAATGTGCTTGGCATCCACCCCTCTCTTATTCCCTAGTATTTTAGTGATAGTTTTAGTACAGATGACATGCATAATTACCCCCCAAAATGCCCCCAAAGTGAAAAAATGTCTTGGTTGGTCTACTTTTTGTGTCTATGAGTCACAAGCTTGCCAATAGAAATACCGGCGAAGCACTCCATCTCTCAAAGTTTTTAAATCCAATTAAAAAACTTATTTGTTCAATTGAGAGATCTTATTGTGTAGAATCCAGTAAAAAGGAGCTCTTAACCAGCGCAGCTGAATATATTTTGTATAAAAGCTGCGCTGTATACATTTATTATTATTATTATTATTATTATTAAGCTGACTGGCTGCTCTACATATAAATACGCCCTCACAGTTTTCATCCTAAAATTATTGAATGTACTAGAATCCCTAAGTTGCGCATTCTAGCAAACTGTGCTTGCTCTCAAACAAGTCGAAGTTGAAAAGTGGATGTCCTCTTCTTCAAGCGGCCACTGGGTTTGCGAAATAGTTTATAAATCTTTGCAGCAGAGATGGATACAATGAATGTGTTGTATCTCGTCCTTATGGTACTACAACGGACATGTGTGACAGAAGCAGCAGGTATATGTGTCTGAATTGTTTTCTTGACATAAATTCCTTTTATCCGTCATTCTATTCTTTATTTTGTTCGTCAAATATTAACATCGGTATGGGATATTTTAGTATTAATACATCATTTACAAAGAGATGCATGGAGAAAATGTAGGAAAGTCCGAACAACGACAGCTAGTACTACTTGAGAAACATTAATCGCAATGAAATGCAAATCTCTTTTTTTTTCTGAAAAAGGGTGATTTTTTCCCACGAAATAATAATGTAAACCTCCATCTGTCTTGCTTCATCAGGGAGGTTTTGTATGTTTCATTTGATGTGAGTTCATCCATTCACAATCACCATTATGGTACATTTGTCATCAATTGAAATTGCAAACCTCCCTGGTATAGTCATGACTATATACGTGTACGTCAATGAATGGATCATCGTCAGCTTTATTCTAAGCTCGATCATGGCGAAGTCCAACGAGTGTAACTTAATAAACAAGGAGATTCAAGACAGGGGCGGATCCAGCCGGCGGCAAGAGAGGGGTACTATTGGTGAGAAAATATTTAGCGGCAAAACAGCCAGCCGGTGAATAAGCCGGGGGAGGGGGGGGGGGGGGGGGGGGGGGTGGGTAGTGAGCACTATTCTTTTCTTCTTTTTTTTCGAGGAGGGAGGAGGGAAAGTACCCACATTTTTTTTTTACTCCACACCCCCCCCCCCCCCCCAACCTCCTTGAGCACACGAAAGAGAAAGGGCATGAAGAAGACATTTGACGATGCCCTAACTTGCGATATTTTGAATTCACCTACATGCAATAGTATCAAAGTGTGCTTTTTTTAAAACAAAATTCTCTTTTCACATTTTATTTTCTCCACGCCAGTTGTGTTTTCTTGCGATTTTGGAAGAGGACCTATAGAAATATATAAAGGCAGTGGTCTTCATGTGTGCGGTATCACCACGAAAGACTGGACAATATTCAACAATCTGGGGCTGGGCCGTTATGGTGCAGCTAAATCTCAGGATGATTCAGGTAAAGTATAATATAATTTTTTAATTTTTTGAATAAGTACATTTACGATGAATAAGATAAAGGAAGGTTCCCTTCTGTGACGAATGTACACACACACAAAAAGAAACTGTTTGGAGAAATAGATAGCATAAACTTCATTCAGTCGTTTGTCAAGGGGTATTCATGACCTTCGTAATGATGATGATGATGATGAATATTATTAGCTCATTTTTAATGAGTTCAGTTCGGCATAACCTATGATTGGGAGGGGAAAGGCCAATATAGCCACTACTTTATAAATTTCATA